GTGCCCTGAAAAAAAAAAAAACAAACCGGAACTGTGACAAGGGAGGAGGCGGAGGTCGTACCAAGCCACCTTTTAAGGGAGTCGGCCAAAATCCCGAACTCATGATGTGCCCTGTTAGGCTCAAAACGCCAATGAATATCTGTACTTTACTAGTTGCTCAAAATATCGCTGTACGCTGGTGTGCTAGATCGATATACGCTTTCCCACACGCCGTCGTTTGGCGAACAGTGACGCAAAGTATGAACACTGCTCAAGCTTGATTAAAGGAGGGGATACAGAAGCGCTGGCTCGTGGTCCCCCCAACTACGTTAGCGCCCAAGTTTGCACAGTATACTATGAGTAAATACCTGTTGCAGTTGGAGGTTAGCCGCGAACCGCCGTTCAAAATTTGGATCAGCAGCCAATCGATACAGAGAATTAGCATTGGCCAGCATCTGAACAATGAGAAAATACCTTGCTTTTATCTGTTTATTCCTGCTATTTGTATTGCAAACTGATGGACAAAAGCCGAGAAAGAACTGGGCACAGAAGTCCTTGGAATTTGAAGGGGATGGAACGGTTAGCTGTTTTGTAACTTTGCTAATAATTTACGTTTACATAATCATCATGTATTTCAGTTTGGCCTTTGTGAAAACGAATTTGGTCAATCGTACTATTACAAAGAATATGATGGACAAGAGAATTTATGTCTGAAGCATGTGGCAAAGGTGAAGTACAGCAATCTAATCAATGAAACAGGGTATGTCCAAAACAACCTATGACTCATTTAATTGCCCCCTCCCTCCCGTCTAAGTACTACTTAACGACATCCATACGAAAACTTACGTCTACGACTCGACAGAGTCGAAATCATTGATGTCTTGGTGTCATAGTTGATTCACAGGGAACACGAATTTAATCTGCAATACAACTCCATTTTTTTACAGATGGGCATATATTGAAGTTGAAGTTTCACCACGAGTTACTCCAGCATATAAGCAAGGATATGCAGCAGGATTTGTAGAAGGTAAAAGACTCTTTTTCAAGAAAAAAATTTTCTCAGTAGCCTTAGAAGTTTTTTAATACCTCATCTCATCAATTAAAGTTTGGAAACTAGTAAGCCCCTTAACCACCAAGAAGTCTGTTCGAGCATAAGATAGTTCCCAAAAAAGATTTCATT